GGGGGGGCGGGCGCGGGTGCCCCAGCCCGGCCACGGGCGCTGTGAGCTGCGGCTGCCTCCTTGCAGGGCTGCCCCAGGGCGCTCCGGAAAACTGCTCCACTGGTTTCCCCCCGCGCCCTGTGCCGGGGCCCACCCGAAGCACATCTGCAAGGTGCGCGGCAGCGAGGGGGCAAAGCCCCGCCGGCCGCCCCCGGGCCGCCGAACTCCCTCCGCCTCCGCCTGGCAGCCCTGCTGGCTCCGGTCCCTCGCAGAGGAGCTGCCTTCGCCCCGCGGCGGCTCTGCTCCTCCCGCAGCTGGGAGGCGGAGGCGGGGAGCGTGCAGCCAGCGGGAGCTGCCCTGTTTGGAAACAACGTGCCCGCAGCCCCATTGGGCGCTGCCTCCAAAACACGGCGAGGGGCGGGGGCGGGGGGGGGCGCTACCCGACAGCAAGCTCGGCTGCCTGCCGAAAGCGCCGAAGAGCGCGAAAGCTTTACAAACGCTGGTCAAGCGGTGCCCTCCCCAGGGGATGCAGCGCAGACAAACGAGGCTTGGCGGCAGCGTTACTGGAGACCGGCAAAGCACTCGGTGAGGGGACGCGGCGCACGGCAGGAGGGCCTTTTGCTGTTACCCCCCTCCCCCGGCAGGGGCTTGAGGCGTCCTTTGGGATAGCTCTGTGCCGGGCTGCCGGCTCTGTGTAGTCATGAGGTACCTCCGGTGCCAAACGCCTTCAAAACCGCTCCAGCTCCCCGACGCCAGCCAGAACGGGCGCTGACCGCTCGCTGTCGCTGAACAGGGGACTGGGAGCTCTGCCCCGAGCGGCGGTACCCCGCGCGTTTTGCGCCGCGGCCGCCAGGCGGCGCCCCCTCCCCCGGACTCCAACTCCCATCCGCCCCCGCGGCGGGAGCCCATGCGGGAGCGAGCGGGGCGCGCCGCGGGGCGCGCCGGGAGCTGTAGTTCGGAGTGGGCGGGGCGTGCTGGGAGCTGTAGGCGGGCGGCGGGCGGGACTCCGTTTTCCCTGGGAAAAACCTGTAGCAAGGCTTAAATTA